TGTGTGTGTGTGTGTGGGCGCAGGGGGCCTTACTGTAGAAGAGCTCTGGCCATTTCGGCGGTGATAGTCTGGGCTGGGATTTTGGGGAGGCCAGCCGATTTTGTTGGGGGGAACTGGGTGTGGTTGAAGGAGGGGAATCCAGGTGTGTAGGGGTCCCCTGAACCCAGATGGACCTGAATGGGGGACAAACGCAAAAATCAAGACACAATACCATGTTGTACCAAGGCTATTGGTTATTTTTGCACCATGCGACAAACAGTTGAGTGCAAACTTACATGTCCATAGAGTGCTGTGTCTGCCACATAGTCGTAATCTTTAACGTCGGGGTAGATGAGAACAGCAGAGGCCCCCTTCGTGGCAGCATTATCAACCTGAAGACAAGACAATGAGCTTTTAGTTTAAGTTCCTGGAGAATAAAAAAAAAGAAAAGTGACACGAAGCATCCAAGGGTGTAACATCAGCACACACCTGCTCTGCAAAACTGATGTTTCCAGCCCGAAGCAGCAACACGCTGCCTTTCAGCTCAATGCTGCTGTTCTTCTGCAGAACATCCAGGTCCTCCTGGCGGCCGTAGTTGCCGTACACCAGCTTCCCCTAAAAACACAGGCTCAGATCAGACAGGCCACTACATTCAACAGAGCTAAAAGCAACAAATGGCCACAGTTTACTGGGCATAAAAGACTTTTAACTCTGCCACAGAGCTGATGGGCAAACTTAATTATAAAAGTGTGACTTGCCTGGACTTTCCCAGTAGCACTGTAGGCCAGATACCCTGTCGGCTTGAAGTCATCCGAACCAAAAAGGATGCGGTTTGGATGCTCGCTGCCAATAAAAGGGACAAAAACTTGTTAGAATATCATCAATTTGTTTTTCGTTACACCAATATTTTTTGTCTTGTCACTGTCTAAGGGAATGTCTCTCTCCCTTTAAAGCAGCCTACAGTGTTTGTTGCTTCAGTGCAGCCTTTACCTGAGTTATCGGAATGAACTGATGCGTTTATTTCTCGCCTGTACATCTTTTGCGAGGATTACATTTATACATTACTCTTATTTGTGTCCATTTTGGCTTTTGTTACACTTGCAGGTGCATGGTGAGTGTGCGTCTCTCCAGTAGGTCTCCATGAATGAGTAAGGCACCCAATCAAATCGGGGACATGCATAACGACTCCCCTTCATTTTGAGTAATGTCGCTGACAATAAGCCAAACTGATGCCAAACTGTGACCTTTTAAAAAGGAAAATAAAATAAAATGATCAGTACAGCAAAAAAAATGTGTTGCTTCTACCTGTCTGGCATCTGCAGCTGAACGTAGTGGATGTCAGTCCATGGATCCATTTCCAGTGTCTTAAATTCGCCAAACACGAGGTTCGCCAGTTTCATATCTTCCTCGCTTCCCGCAGAACGTTTGGGCAGATCAAAGTCCCTGCAGGCAAACAAACACAACTTTGTCTCAGTTGAGTCTTCTGAAATGACTTCAGAGAAAAACAGTCCACAATGACTCATGAGGATAAGAGAAGGCCTTTCAGAATGACAGATACTGAGCTTTGTCATGAAAGTTTGTTGCGTTGTGTCGAGGAAAAAATGACTCCTCTCACCAAGCTTGAAACAAAGATTTTACTTTTTTGAAAATATCTCCCAGCCCAGGCTTGGACTTTGAGTTATTTGTGTAACCATTTAAAAAAAATAAATAAATAAAAAAAAAAATAGATAAATAGTTGCTAAGTGAAAAGCAAAAAAATTTTCACTTCCATCTCCACTTGGATGTGGGTGGTTTTGTGGGTAGTTTTTTAGGTCAGCGTCATCTATTACAGTCATGAAACTTGTTGGGTATTATCTCTTACATAATCATCAACTCATTGTAACCTCCCCCCCCCCATCCACTGCCTCATTTGTATTCTCAGACTGTCTGCAGCATAATACTCTAAAAAAATAAAATGTTCTCTGAACCCTCTCATCCAGTTAATTAATTTTTATTATTCATTTCCCTCTCACAAGCAGCTGAACAGCCCAAACCCGTACCTGGCTGGTAGAAATTATTGACATAGTGACATTGGATTTACTTTGGAAGGACTATCCTTATTTTTTTTTTTTAACATGAATCATTTACTTCTTAAAGAATTGGTTTGTTTGATTGCTAGGTGTTTGCTTTGTATGGTGTGTTCTCTTCTTGCTTCACCTTCAGTAGGAATACATAAATTGTGGTTTGAGGGTGTGTACATGAACAGTGTACCTCAGAGTTTTGTCAAAGGCCTGGCTGGTGAGTTTCTGCATGAGGAGGTTGGTGATGTCCTTCCAGGTCAGCTGAACTTCAACAACAGCTGTCGCCTTCTCAGTTTCGGTGTCCAGCTCCGTGCTACAGTTCACCAGTTCCACCCGAGGTTTACGGTGGCTGATAAAGCCGACCAGGTAGCCTGGAGGACAAACAGACACGAGAACTGGTTTGAATAGAGCAGCTAACAGCTACTGGTAAACTCACTAAAACAGAGAAAGTCCTCAACCCTGCAGTTCTCAGATTTCTGCACTGGTTTCCCGTGCGTCAAAGAACCAATTTGAAAATCTCTGATCTGTTGCAGGTTACGAACCATCCAGACCTCTCTGGTGATCAGGGACAGGTCTGCTTTAAGGAGTCTTTAGACTGCGAGATGGGCATACTGACATAAAAAATGACTTAAGATAGGACAATGAGGAGTGTATCCTACCGATAACAAATATCAGCAGGGTTCCCAAGACCAGGTAGCAAATGTTACGGCGGGGTTGATGCGGAGGCGCTGGCCTGAAGCTCGGAGAGCCCCCATCCTGACCCTCAGCGTCTGTGGCGTCATCAGACAGTTTGACCTCAACGTGTCTCTCTCCGTCCACCGCCGGCTGCAGAGTGAACCTGCTGTACCGCTCAGTTTTAATCTAGAGGGGGAAAGATAAGAGCGGAAACTATGAGAGCAATGTGTTCCTGATCCCACAGCTGCACGGGAGGACGACGGGCGGCCAAGACGTTACAAAGATCCAATTATTAAAGAGGTTTATTTGGATAGCAGACGTGAAACGGAGCACTAGACGTTATTCTACATTTAATCAGTTCACTTTTAGATACAAAAATAATAAAAAAACATGTACACAAAGTGTCAAAACTCTAAATATGATTAACAAACACTCACCATGCTGTTAAACGCAGACCTGAATCGATCCATCGTTGCCGTTGTTGGTATTCTAAAAACAGAGAGTGGAAGACGGAGAAGACCGTGAGTTGCAAATAAGGAAAGCAAAAGCAGAGGGAGAGATGACAGCCCAAGGGAATCAGGGAGGAAAGGGCGGAAGGGGAGGAGGGCAGAGGAAGTGTGGCGAGTCAGGTTTCTGACAGAGTTGCTATTCAGACGAACATTTAGGGTTCCTGTAGGTCTGCAGGGCGGAGTTCTCTCTGTAAACAGGCGGACTGTTATTCGCCGAGGCTGGACCCAAAAACATTATTTTATATAGTCCAAAGTGTGTGTGTGTGTGTGTTTTGAACTAGTTTAGCTGCAAATGTTAATGGCAATATTGGAGTTTTATAACATTTTTGCATCATGATTTGTATTTATTTTGCTGAATATGACAAAACAAACGTTCATATACATTTTATATTCTATCCATTAACTATTACTTTAACTATTGATTTTCCCAAAAAAGGATTTTAGGATCCACTACTACTGTACACTGTTAAACTATTTCCTGTAGATAAATATTGTAACACCAAATGGAAAATGCAGAGCTGAAACGATTGTTCAAATTATTAACAGATATTATTTTCTCTGTTTTATGTCATTGTGACACCTAAACCCACGGGCTTTGGACTCTTGGTCAAACAAAACAAGAAAAAATATTCAAATTATTGTCAGATTAATCCTGTTTCGTACATTTTTATTTTTATTTTTAAGTACCTACATTGATTAAAAGGTTTTTTCTTTTTTTTTTTTTTTTTAAACAAAACCGCCAAAGTTTACCACGTTCTTGCTTGTGAGGATTTGCTTTGTATTATGTGATAGTAGGGCTGAATACCTTAGGAGTTTGGGTTGAAAGAAGCTATTACTTTGGACTTTAGAGACAATTTTCACATTTTGTGACATTTTAGAGACCAACTGATTGGTCGAGAAAATAATCAGTAGACTAATCGATAATTACAAATAATTAAAACCATTACGATACATTGTGAGACACTCATGATTAGTGACGTCAATCAGTCATATTAATGTCAATATCTTTTTTAATATATACTGTATATATTTTTGGATCACGACATGGAAATGTAAAATCAAATTAATGTTAAGTGTAAATTACCTATAATCCACTGTTATGCATCACCTCTGAAAAACCTGTGAATAACATTTATGCAAATTGGAAAAAGAAGACTCTTTTTCCACATTATGTTCCGACTGTCAACGGCTGACTAAAATGAGCAAAGAATGACGTGTTGCAATCTGATAAACTGGGCAAATTCATCAGATTATCTAATAAATGCACATTACTTTATTATTCTACACTTTATGGGCCAAATGATTAGATAAAATAATAATTATACATAAAAAGACATTTAATCAGTGATAAATGTTATATGTCAATGCAAATGTCAAATGTCTTAAAGGAATGTCCAAGAACTGGTTTGTCCTTCACTTCACACACACACACACACACACACACACACTTACAAAGATGGATAAGACTTGGAAAAGGTGACCTTCTGGTATTATTTTCACACCATAACAATACCCTCACTGTAAGCTTTGTTTCATTTATAAACATGTCAGTGGCAGACTACGCTGAGGCATCAGTCACAGCTTAAAGAGGGCTTGTTCTCACACACACACACACACGCCCCAATCCTTTCATACTCCTCAACAGTACGAGTCTCCTCCCTCATACTGTTGAGGAGGAAAGTGATGCAACACAGTTCTGGTTAAATGACACGTTTCCTCATTACTGAAAAAGCTGAAAATAACAATGGCTTCTTCCTCGATTGATAATATCTGTGAGAGTATACAGATTTTAGCTCATGGCAAAGAAAATAAATAGAAAGATAGAAAGACTTAAACAATTCATTTGACATTATAGATTACAATATATTGCATTTTTACAAACAGCCCAAAACCAATAAATATTTAGTTCACAATCATATAAGAAGAAAGCCTTTTGTGTTAACTGTTCAATGAATCATCAACACTCTTTTCAACTCTCAGAATCAACCTCAAAAAGATCCAGCATGGGTTGCCTGTGGTCCTCA